CCCTTAAAAAAAGAATGGATTGAAAAATTAATAATTATATTAAAATCACCTGCAGACGTGGACGAATGTCAAGAGAGCCCTTGCGATGAGAACGCCCTGTGCTACAACGTTGAGGGATCATTCCAGTGTCAGTGTCAGTCTGGATTCTCCGGGGACGGACGCACCTGTAGACGTGAGAGTTATTATATTGTTGTTCTTGAGTGATCATTATGTTGATGAACTAACGTAGTTAAAAAACAATTTAAAAAAAACAATAAGAAAATTTTGGCAAACGTCAATCTCATTTGCTGCAGATGTACTGTAATATTTTTAATGCGTCAACTGTTCGTTTACCGATTTCTGGGGAAAATTTGCTATTAGATTAAACACGCCTGCCAGAATCAGCTACACGACTGCTGTTTTACAAGTTAACAAAATAGCAATAACGACAATCGCTCCTTTGGATAACTTCCAAAAGGAACGTTTTCAATCTTCTTCTTGAAACTGATATGTTCTGTTGTACATATACATGATGGGCTGTACTGGCGTACTTACTGTGATTATTATGTTAAGAATCAGCTTCCTCGCTCACGGCGCTGTTGTTCACTTTGAACACTCTATAGCGTTTCGAAAAGGCTGTAAAATCAAACTGATCATTTTACATTTCCCCTCTCCGTCTGTTCTTGGTACCCAGAGGATGTCCAAGCGTGTGGTCAGCAGATCTGCTCCAGCAATGCCCGCTGTATCTTCCTGAACGAGACCAGTCAACCCCGCTGTCAGTGCAATGTTGGCTTCAGAGGAGACGGCGTCCGTTGTGCTCCTATTGGTTTGAACACGTTTTTTAACATTCTCTTTTTAATGTTAAACACATTTTTAAAGGTGAAAATTGTTACCCTTTCTCTCATATGCCTCTGTTAAATTAATGAAAAGCGAACCAAGCCGCAATCGAAATTTCTACAAGAAACTCAGTATTGAATACGGAAAAAAGAAAAAAGTCAGTAGAAAAAAAGCCCACAAACATTTCTCACAAAATTCCTGGAACTCAAAGAGATTATCAACTTCATTTAAGGAAAAAAAATCCAATTACCAACAAACTTCCCACCTCATAGGAATTGATTTTTCAACTTTGGTCAATATTGTTGCCACTTTGGATATCATGCACAAGAACATTTGAAATATTAATCGATATTAATCGATAATTGGATTGATGGAAACAAGTGATTTTCAGCGCACAGAAGGCAATCAGTGAGCTTTTTATGCTTTAACAATAAATTGAAATTAAGGTATCTAGATCGGAGACAGGTGTGGGTTAGAGGTAAAGTGATTATTTTTCTCCATAATACACTTTTAAAAAAAATCCCAATTGTCTGGTGCCTCTCGTGTAAACAGAGTACAGCTGTAACGAGGCGGACATCTGTGGCGAGAACGCCCAATGCGTGTATGATGAAGACCTACGAGAGTACGTGTGCGAGTGTGTCGATGAGTTCAGTGGGGACGGCTTCTCCTGCGAACAGGCTGGTAAGTTTTTTGCTTACGTATCCCTTGGTTCTTTGTGGGCGTAGAGGACAGATATGTACCAGCAGTAAAGGGCAATGCATCGGCATATTTTGAAGCATCATATTATACGAGTACAAATCAGAAACACAAATTTGCACGTTTAAATGTTGGTGCCTGGGTTTAAAGATTCAGGCCACAAAATGCAATTGAAAAGTTTACATGAACAAGGGAGTTATAATTCTTTTTCGAATTGCCCAGAAACGGCGTGTTACGAAAATATGGAATTTGGAAGAACATTTTAAGTATATTACTAACATGTTTTCAAAAGGATTGCATCATTGCTTTAATTTTACTTAATATAAGAAATTGAGGACATCATTTTTGCATCTAGGTAAAGTATTATGACATGCCGATCAAAGATACAAAGATAAAAACCTTTTCATTATCTAGAGGGCTAAAAAATATTAAAGAAATTAAAATCTCTACTCAACTTTGACGATTATTGTCGTTTTTTTTCTCTCTCCAGACCAGGGCTGTGGCAACTGTGACCGTTTTGCTCAGTGTATCTTGGACATCTCAACTAACCGCTACAAATGCCAGTGTAACCCAGGCTACTCGGGAGATGGGGCCACCTGTTCTCTCATTGGTCAGTTTTTGGTAGCGCAAAAAGTACTATTGTTTGAACTTTTGCTTTTTTAATTTGTGTGTGTGTGT